CCACTACCCGCCCCCCCCCCCCACACCTCCCAGGGATGCCAAACCCCTGCCCTCTCTGGCCTCCTCCCCCAGCCCCTGCTGGGCCTGCAGCCTCCTGGGGATCCCCGACTTTTCTCCTGGGGGGTCAGCTGCTTCTGTCTGCTGGCAGCGTGGACCTTCGTGGCTGAGACCCCAGCCACCCTCGTGTCAGCATCCCCAGGCTCCCTCTCTCATCGCCCCAGGCAGCTGGGCACCGGGGGTACCCCACCTGGCCATGGGGTCTGGCCCGCACAGATTCAAGGTCTCCATGTGACAGAATATTCCACAATTCATCCACAACCCGACCCTCTTTCCCTACCCAGCGCCCCCACCCGCGCTGCCTTGTTCCTCAGTGGACGCAGCCCTGGGTGCGTCTCCCCTCCCTCAGGTGAAAGAGTCAACGGCGGTTTCCTGGAACCAGATGGAGGGGAGGGGAAGGGGGCACTTGATGCATCGGGAGCAACAATGACAGAGTTAGGGTTCTTCTCGCAGGTGCAGCGGGTCTCCCTGTCCCCAGGTGCCCACCGGGGGCTGGCATGACTGGTGCAGGTGCAGACACAGTGGTTTGGGGAGTGCCCAACGAGAAACTTTAGTTTGAAACATTAATTTTCAATCGAAGTTACATCCAATATTATTTTGTACCAGTTACAGGCGGACAGCGCAGCAGTAGACAATCATGTCCTATACAGATATTTCCACCTGGCACCACACCCAGTGATTCCCATAGCATTGACTTCCCTCTGCGGTAACGTCGTCTCTGTGACTCTTCTGTAACTACAGCTTGTACTTGTTAATCCCTTCACCCTTTCACCCAAGAGAGGCTTAAATCATATGTAGGGGAGGCTCAAGAAGTAACAGAAGGAAGGTCCCATCAAATCAGAGAGCTCAGCAGCTCAGTTCTCTCCCTCAGCACCACCTCCTGCTCCTCTCGTCCCTCCCAGCCGCCCCTGTGCTCATCCCAATGGATTGCTGTTCCCTACGGTGCTGTCGGCCCCTCCCTGCTGCTGGCCGTGCACCCACCTGCCCCGGGCAGTGAGCTGCCATCTACTGTATGTGCTGCTGCCCAGTGTGTGGCCGAGCACCCACCTGCCTGCGCCTCCGCCTGGACAGCCGAGCCCATCTCAGCTGCGGGGAGGCCCTCCTCCTACAGACTGGGCTTCCTCACTCTGTCCTCTGGCTCAGAGGATGGCAGCCACTCGTCTCTAGAATCAGAGATGGGGAGGGGGTCATCCTGGACTCGGCCGTGTCCCCAAGTCCCCCCTCTGCTCACCACGTCGGTTCTCACACCCCGTCTTCACTCAGACTCCGCATTTCTTGCCTGGTTTCTGCAGCGCCTCTGGTGGGGCCTGGCTGCCCTCAGTCTTGTCACCTTCCTACCGTTCTCTTCGCTGCCTTCACAAGACCGGCGGCCCACGTCCCATCTTCACTGGCCTCCTCCTCCCGGAGTCTGCTCCCTGGCTTCCTTTCTTGCCATCACAGGCCTTGCCCGTTATCCTCCAGAGCTGGGGCCTGCACCACGGTGTTGCCTTTGTAAGGAATGTCATCGTCACTTCTCATCCGTGGCTTACCTTCTCTTTAAGACCTGCCACAATGACCCCTCTTGCCAGAGCCTCTCTGTCCACTGCTTCTTCGGGGCTCCCCTGACATCTGTGGCCTCGTCCCTGCATCGACCTCCTCGGGTGATTGCGTTTACTTGTTTCCCCTGCTGGCTGCGTGGCCCTCGAGGGCAAGTGCAGCGTGTACCTGCCTGATGACCTGTGTCCTACAGCTCGGGGCTCCGGGCTGGGAACGAGTGGGAGATGAGAAATATTGGTGAATGAATGAATGAACTCATTCATGAAAACGCCCCTCTTCGCTCTCTTCATCTCTGCCCCTTTTCTCCAGGTGACAGAGAAGACACCAAATCAGGTGGGTAGGCTGAGCCCTGCTGCAGG